TTGACCGATGCAACTGCAGAATTAGTTTTTATTCCGGTTAATCAGCCTAACTTCCATTGGTCGCTTCTGGTTTATGAGACCAAAACTAAAACTTTTTATCATTATGACACTTTAGGAGGGGCTAATTGAAATTATGCCAAAGATTTAGTGTATGAACTTTTAAAAGAGTTAGAAGTTCCTAACCATCTGACTGGTCAGCACTTTTTAGCAAGGCATAAGATTAGGCAGAATAATGGTTGGGAGTGTGGGGTAGCAGTAATAGCGATTATGAGGAGGATTAGGAAGGGATATAAAGGGGATTTAGAAAATATTCAATTGGGAGAATTTGATTTTAGGAAGGAGCGGAAAGAATTGAGAAAAAAGTATTTAGAGGAAAATAAGTAATAAACAAAAAGAAGCTCATTAGAAAAGGATAGAAAGCATTCTCCCAACCTTTTTTCTAATTTTTACCTTATAGGAGATATTTCAATTTGGGTTTGAAGTTCTTCCTGATAAGCTTGTCTTAACTCATCTAGGTTTACTTCTCCCGTTGCCACTTTCTCCTTTACCCACTGTGGTTCAGCATAATTTTCTAGTGCTTTACTGGCTTCATCCCTTAGTCAAGCACAAAAATTAGCCTCGGTAGGTTGAAAACCAGCCTGAATTCATTCTTGGACTTGTTGGTAGGTGAAGTTCTGGTTTTGTCATAGTTGGGTTAATTCAGAAGTAAAAGAGGGATGGATATTTGTCAAATTTTCTGTTGTAAAATTAAGTTGACTAAGATTTTCGGTGATCCCAGTAGGATAAAATTGTTTAAAGGATATCATATTGAGCAGAACTTTCCTCTGCCTCTCCGCACCCTTTTAAAATATCAAATTCTGCTTGAGAAGTATTAATTTCTTGTGAGTTTTGTAATAATTGAGCAATTTGCTTAGTTAGTAAAAGCCGACTGCGATAAACGATTTGAGGATGATGAATTGAGTTAGAAGAATCATTGTTATTATTGTTTTCCTTTTCCATTAATGATAAGTCAAAAATCATTAATGATTGCTGCCGAGAAAATTCACTGTCTGTTCCACATTCATTCATTAAGCGACCTAAAAATTTATTTAATTCATCAGCGGTTGGACGTTTGCCAGGATCAGTATTTCAACACCTCTTAATTAAATCCTTCAATAACTGTGGCAATATAGCAGTATCTAAATTTGGCCTTAACCCTTGACAAATTTTTAAAGCCAAATCTAAATCATCCATTTCTGGATAAGGATGAGCATTAGCAAAAATTTCATAAGCTATTATTCCAAAAGAGTAAATATCACTGGCTTGGGTATAAGGTTGCCCTTGTAAAACTTCGGGAGCCACGTAAGGTAATACTCCATAAACATTTTCTTTATTAGTTTCATTGGCCGGGCGACACAAACCTAGATCAGTAATGCTAGCATGGGTACAAAAAAACCCACCAAAAGACTTGCCAACTCTGGTACATAAGATATTGCCGGGGTGAAAGTCTCGGTGCATTAGCCCTCTGTCATGTATTAATTTTAACCCTTTAGAAAGTTCGTGCATTAATACTATTTTGCTAAATAAATGTTCAATTTTAATAGAAAGGTCTGCATTAATTAAAATGTCCTTTGAAAATTGACGTAAATCACCATCCTCCACATATTCCATAACCATGAGATAATCTCCGGTCTTTGGGTCTCGTGAAATGCCATAAAATGGAACAATACCTCGACTATCTGGTCTACTATCAACTAATCTATGATTAGCAATTTCTTCCAAAAAATCATCTGTAATATTTTCTCGTGAACTATTTAAACTTTTTAGAACAACCTTGAGTTTAATGTGAAAAATATCCATAATACTTCTAATTAATTTTGCTTGTCAGTTTCTTGATTTACTTCCAATTTTTCACTCAGCTTTGTATACTTTACCAAATCCCCCTTCTGATAAGTATTTAATATCAACAATCTGCTCGTAAGGAATTCATTGAAACGTTGAAGATCTTTTTAACTGTTGTTCTTGAATAAATTTATCAATTTTCGGATTACCACTAGTTCAGTTATTAAATTCTTCCTGAAAATGTTTAGCATTACAGGCTTGGCATACCCTACCTCCAAAAAAAATGTCAATCAATGCTTGTCCCAAAAATTCCTTTCTGCCTTCAGTGTGAGGTTCACGACATTGCTTACATAACCCGTATTTGCTATTTACTTTTTTATACTCTTCTCTATACCATTCTACTGTATTTATAAAAAATATTTTCCTGAGAATTTCTAATAATAAAGTTCTTTTCTTCTCTAACCATTTAGCATAATCATAGTCATTTGGTTTTAGACCATTTTTGATTAAAGTTTCAACTTGTTGCTGATTAAATCCTTTTTCTTCCCATTTTTGTCGTAACTCGAAGTTAAAATCCTGATGAATGTTTTTTCAAGGCAAGGTATATTCTTCTTTCAATTCATCTAATCTGCTCACTGTTATGTTTTGTGGATTAAGTTCTTTTTCTTTTTTTAAATGAGTTGCAAAGAAATAATCACTGTTCTTTAATCCTATTTTTTTTCAATTTTCAACTTCTTCACTAGTAAAACCTTTTTCTTTTCACCCTTGAACATAATTTAACTCATTAGGAGAAAATCCTATCTCTAATCATTGCATCATTTCTGAGAAAGAAAAACCTAATTCTGCCCAATTATGGTATTCTTTAGTAAATAAATCTAGTTGCTTAGCAATTTCTCTAATTTTGCTTTCAGGTCTTTCTTTAGTAGAATACCCAATTTTTTCACTATATAAATCTTTAATTTTTACTAAATCATCATGTTCAATGTAAGAGGGCGATAAGTAGGCTAGTATTCTCAAAAAGCAAGGCACCAATTTTGCTTTATACATATTTTCAAGCTCTTCTTTGCGTCGCTTGTATTCATCGTCACTGATAATACCATAATTTCAATTCTTTCGGTTTTCTTCAAGTCCCAAGTGTTTAAAAGTTTTGTAATTATAATTAATCCCACTCAAACTAATCGGTAAATATTCTACCCCGCTATTTAAATCAGTATTCTTGATATTTAACTTCTTTAATTGATAACAATATTTTAATGGTTCTAATGAACCAGTCCACCAATTAACCTTTTCTTGACCATCATTGCCAATTTGTAATTCTTCTAAATTAGCTAATTGGCTAAAAATAGTTAAATCTTGCTGAGAAAAATTATTATTGTTTAGGTTAACATAGGTTAATTTTTCTAGCCCACTAAAATCCATATTAGTCAATTGGTTATTTTCACAATCAAACTCTCTTAATTCTGGACAGTTAATGATCTCTATTTTTTTATTATCTACAAGGTTTCTGACACTTGCTTTTTTTAATCGAGGACAATTAATAATGGATACCTCGGTGATATTTTTAATTTCTCCAAAAGTTCTAATTTCTCCTAAGACGGGATAATTATTGATAACTAATTTATCAGGCTTAAATTCTAAACAAAGACTACCTAACACTATCGTCTTAGCATTTTCTCTAGAAAATCATCTATCTAGTCATTCTTGAGTAGTTGTCTTGATGACTACACTTCTTTTTTTACCCTTTATCTCTCCCAACCATCGATTACCGACAATATTTATTTTTTTTAGGTTAGTAAAATCAATTAAATCAATATCTCTTTCTAGATTTTGATTACTAATATCTAACTTTGTTATTTTGCTTCTTTGTTCTTTGGGATAATTCTGATCCAGTCATTCTTGGGCATTTACCATATTTTTATTTCTGTATTTTTGCTATTTTGTTTTTAAATTTACAATCACTACTTAACTTTTAAGCACTTATATCCAACCAGGAGTGATTATTTTTATTATACCAGTTAGATATCTGCTATCATTCTGACCATAGGCTAATTTATTTATTATTTTTTCGTATATACAGATAAACGGCCAACAAAGTAATTATTTACTTTTTTACTTCTTTATATCTATATTACAATTTAGGATCGAGAGGATAAATTTTGTTTAAATATACCCCTGCTGTGGTCGCAAATATTTCAATGATTTCAACCAATATGAATTATAACTATCCAAATATTTCTTCCCTACAAAAATCACAAATCCCTGCTCAGTCTTACTATTAGTCCAAGCAGCTGCTTCCCAAATCACACACTGAATATAGATGCCTTCATCAGTCTTTTGTAAAAGCGAGACTTGACATATCCCAGTCGTTACCTCTCGTTGCTCTATTGATACTTGCCCCAACCTTTGAGCATTAACAAACAATCTAGTCCCTTGATGCCTACTCAAAGCAATAAAATGCATCAAGAACCTCTGCTTCTCCCGGACATCCTGCACAATATTTCCCTTAAACAAAAGATTGATCTCATCCAAAAAAATAGTCTCAGTCACCCCTAACCTCTGACTAGGGGCATGGGAGAAGTCTAACTGACTCTTTTCAGCCCAAGGAAGTTGACAAGGGAATGTTGCGTATTTATTGACTTTTCAATTGTTATATTTGGTTTGACTAGTTATTTTTTTTATCTAATTAATTAACTAATTAGTTAGTCAACTTATTAAAATAATTTAATATGGCAACGGCTAATTTAAAGTATACTACTAACTACAAAAGGACACAAAATAGTAAGCAAACTCATTATTGTTTTAAAAACCTAACTCCGAAATTATGAAACTCCTCAAAAAAATAATCTTTTGATCGATAATCATTCTACTAGTCTTAATCTTCCTAGGATTACTAGGCTTCAATACTTTTTTAAACTGGCAACAATCAAATTATTTTTCTTGAAAAAAAAGCAATAAAGAAAGTTCTGAGGAACTAGAAGCCAAAGATCGCAAAAAAAGTTTGGAAGAGGCTCAATTAAAAGCTCTAAAAGGATTTGACCCCTCCCGCAAAGGAAAAATTATGACCTATGATGAAGGAGGATATTTAGGAATTAAAGGTTATAGTAGTAATACCATGAGTGGAGAGTCTGAAGGAACCCTATTATTTGCTCCCGAAACCTTAGAGTTTTTTGAAAGAATATTAAAAGATATTGACAATTTTTTAAGTGATGCGGATTTGGATCCAGATCCCGGATTTGAAAATGATAATTACGCCCCTTACTTGGTCCGCAACAATTGTATACTTTACGGAGCACCGGGAACCGGTAAAACGGAATTTGTGCGGGAATTAAACCGGATGCTAATCGAAAAATATTCCCAAAATAACGAACCTATTGCCGACCCCAATGACCCCCGTTATGGTCTAGAAAATAATCGAGTTAATCAACCAGCAGTCCCGATTTTTGAAATTAACGGAAAAAGATTACAAACCGGCGGACAAACTATGAAAGATTTAAATACGCATGAAAAATTGGCGGAAATTATCAAAGTCTTAAAGCAAGAAGCTTTTGGTGATGCTTTTTCTACTAAAACTTATATTGTTTTTGTAGACGAGGCTGACCAAGCCCGTAATACTATGGCCGGGGATAAAGCAGCCTTGTTAGAAGAATGGAAAAATTTTCTCTCTAATGCCTCCGATAGTGGTGGTTTAGGTAAAGATGGTCAAGATGCTATTAATCCAGCCCAGGATCGCAACAGCATTTTTATTATCGCGACTAATAATTATGGAGCCATCGACCCAGCCATCAAACGCCGCGGCCGTTTAGGCAAGAAATTTAATTTTACTTGAAATCCTGCAACTTTAAAAGGATATAGTAATAATCCGCAGACTCACATTGATTGGCCGCAAATTAACAGCCAGGATGACCCAAATTGAAAATTTGCTGACAATAAAGAATATCAATTATTATTTAAAATGGCGGAAAAGTTCGGTTTTGCCATGTTTAGTGAAAGATTTGTCGATCATGCCAATAAAATTATTGCTAGTTGGCAAAATTTAAAAAATAGTAAGGATGAATATGAAAGTAAAATTAAATTTGAATTAGGAGAAGAAAATAAATATTGGTGTGCGACTTGTAGCAAAGAAGTGGAAAAAGAAACCGACTGACAAAGGCAAGAGAGAATTAATAAGGCAGTCAAGGATGCCACCCGAGATTTAGAAGGCAGTGCTAAAAAAGATAAAGAAAAAGAAATTACCGAGCAAGAAAGCAAAATAATTAAAGGTAAATGTGGACATGAAAGCGAAAGAATTTGTAATTGATTACTACATTATATTTATACTTTCCATCTTTACAACGATAAAGATGATTTAAATTCTTTTACTAAAGCGGAGCAAATAAAAAGATATCAATTTGGGGATAATCAATTATTACGAGAAAGAATTCGGGAATTGGGTGATCAATTGTATAATAATCATGTAGAATTAGGTAATGTAGTAGGGGGTTCTTTATTGAATATGGTTAATACCTTGGATGCTATCAAAGAAGAAATTAATGCCGCCGAAATTCGGGCTTTAAAAGATGAAGCCTATCAAGTTCGTAAGGATTTACAGCAGGCTACTTTGGATGTGAAAGCCTTAGAAGGACAAATTGATGCCTTGCGGCAAAAAATTGGCAGTATCGGAAGTGGCTCGAGTTCGGGCAGCAGTTTTTCTTTTCCTTCAGCAGCAGGTATACTCGGTAGCACTTCTACGACCGTGCGAAATGCGATTGTTGGTGTTCGTAATCAATTAGTAGGAGTAGTTAATGATCTAATTAATGATATGAATGACTTAAATCAGCAAATGACTAGTTTTGTTAATTCTTTGAATGCTAGTGGGGGAGCCAGCACCACAGTTATTAATGAGTTTAATAATTTACAAACCAAGCAAAATAATTTGGTGCAACAAATAAAAAATTTACAAAATACAATAAATAGTCTTTAAATTACTTGCTGAGAAATGTAGGCCCGCAAAGTGCTGATTTTGCTATTATTATGAACGGAGGAAAAAAATTCAGTTTTATTATTCAGATACAAATCTTTTAAGCAGATATTACAGATATATTTTTCCTTATCTTGTTTTTGCTCGGTTCAGTGTCCCCAATTATTTTTTTTAGGATAACCTTTCAAGGGAAAAACCCACGGGATAGAAAAATTGGCACGGCAGCGTCAACAATAGACAGTCAGTGGTGCTTGATATTTAAGTTTATTGTTCATGTTCTTTTTTTGCGATTATTTAATAATAATGTTATATATTTATAATTTTTAGTAAAATGATAATAATAATATAGTATGTATAAAATATATATATAATTAGTTAACTAAACATGAATAGAACTATCCTCAATGTAAATAAAACCCCTATGGCTCGTAAAGGCATGCGGCGGAGTCAGCGGATTATCCATTTTGCTACCAAGGTAACGCCTGAATTTGATAATTCAATTAGGCAGCAGGCCGAAAAAGAAGGTCTGATGCTGGTAGAAATGTTGGAAAAATATCAACAGGCTTACGAAGAAAAGGTAAAATCCAAAAAGAAAAAGTAAAAAAATAGTTGCTTCTTACATGAATGCTTTTTTTTAAGTTAACTAACCAACTAATTATATAATTAATTAAACATAAAAATATGGCTCGTAATTTCTGATATGGTTTAGTCTTTTTTATTTTCTTCATGCTAGTGGCCTGTTGGAAATTATGAGCCTGAATTGTTTGAAAAGTCCTTAATCTAAATAAAGACAAACAAGTTTTTCAATTAATCGCTAAAAGTCGGTTTATTGAAATTATCGGTGCTAGTGGAAAAGGTAAATCTTGACTTTTAAGTCATCTTTTTTTAAATTTAAAAGGGGTTAAGTTTACTAATATGCCTACTCCGCAAGGAACTTATACTCTAACCAGAGAAACTTGCGAAAGTCATTGAGTAGGTAAATGAGCAGCTCCTAATCGTTTTTATTATTTTTTAGATGATATTGTTAAGTTTGAGGAGTGAGGACAAAAAACTATGAGTTGTGGTGCTTATCAAGAATGGCAAAAATATTGTGCTAGTGCGGGTAAATTAGGGGGAACTTTTATTTGGACTAATAATGGCCTGGATAACGCCACCCCGCCGCCTTTTGCGGCCAATAGTAATGAAAAGTGAGTAGTTAAAGGTTATATTACTTTTTTAAATTATTCGTTATTGTTATTTATTAAAGGTTGGCGACCGGTGTTGGTGCCAGTAGATAATAAGGCCATTGAAGGTTTTTACGACCCCCGTTGGAATATTAGTAAAGAATGAAATCGTAACTGAATTAAAGAAGTCGCTCAGCGTTTACAAGCAAAAGAATTAAATCAATTATTAGAAGTAGTAGATAATAAATATAATCCGGAACAGGAAAAATACGACCGATCTGTGCTAGAAAATTATTTACGAGAAAGAAAAAAAGAAGCGGCTGTTTACCAAAAACAGCAAACCGAACGGAGAAGAAAAAAGACTGAAATAGAGAAATTTGGCTTGAATGATAAGCCCCTAGATAAGGAAAGGTTAAAACATTTTAACAAAAAAGAAAGTAAGAAAAAAGAAGAGGTGGTAAAAAAAAGAGGGCGGTCATTTAAGGGCGAAGAACCATCAGAAAAAGAAGAACGAATAATTACTGATAGCGGAAATGACAATGAAGAAGAATAAATCATCCCTTTCTCTTCGGGTAATAGTGCTTTTATTAGGCAGCGGGCTTTTAATCTTATTTTGGTTTTTTCCTAATTTAATTAATGAGATTAGTTTATTAAGGTGAATCCAAACTGTTTTATCTTTTTTCTTCCATACTATTTTTTGAGCGACATTAGGTTTACTCAATTTTACGGGATAAAGGAGTAATGATTATTGATAACACTCAGGAATTTATTACTTTTTGTGAGCGGGCGGATAGTTTGGTCTTTTATGGACCGGTTGGTCAAGGTAAGACTTCTTTATTGGCTATGTTAGCCCAAGAATTAAGTGGAGAAAATAAATACGCGACTTTTCCGTGTAATTTACCTTGAATTGATATTAGTCAGATTGATTTTACTTATCAGCCGAAGCAACTTTTAGGGGTTAAAGAAACTATTTTTCTGGATGAAATTAACCTACTATTTAAAGGTAATATTGTCCACGAAGCCCGAGCCGAAAAAAGATTTTTAAGCCATTTTTTTGCTCTCTCACGACACCAAGGGACCAAAATAATTTTGAACGGCCAAAGATTAGGGCAGGTATGGATAGAATTGCGGGAAGTAGCGACAGCGGTTTGCCAGGTGGAGAAATTGGCCTTAAAGGAAGAGGGACTGTATGTGCGAGTAGAAATTTTAATGGCTACGGCCTGAGAGACCAAAGAAACTGGGCGGGAATTTATCGTATTTGTGCCGAAGATTTATTTGGATACTTTTAATTCTACTTGATTAAGGTGCTTAAAGTATTTGCGACGAGAGCAAGGATATATTTAAAATTAAACCCAGTAGTTAGATTAGAAATTAAGTAATATTTGCTATAAATCTATATATATAATTCTATAATTCTAACTATATTATGAACTGAAAATCCAAAATCAAACGTAAAGGACTA